TAGCTTTCCATTTTCAGCTTTGACAGTGCCCTTGAGCTTGCCGTGGGTGGAATCATATTGAAATACATAAACCATGTAGTTGAAGTCAATTAAGGGATTAGTAATGTCTACTGTGCCTGAGTTGAACGCATCCCTGGTTACCAGGTACCCAGTATTGCCAAATCCATTGACTCCAACCTTCACTGTCTTGTCTCAGGGATGCGACTACAGCAGCTGATTCTGGCACCAAGCTTGGAAGAAGAGCTGAGAGCTCTCTCTTGATTATAAGAAACTAAGTATTTCATCTTAGCTAGACATAGAAAACAGTTCCTCAATAGAATTAGTAACCGAAAATAACTAATTCACTCATAAACTTCATTATGAGAGTCATCATCTTTAGCATTAGAAATGAAAACTCTTCTATACAGAAGCCTTGTATTCTACATCTAGGATATTGTGTGCTGTTCTAGGTGTTATGATAAGGCTGGATATCGATAAGCTGGAAACCAGAATAATTATAATGGGCTTCGAGATAACACCATATGAGGATCAGTATATAGATTAGGGAAGAGAAGACTTTTAAGGGAGCAAGAGTCATGCTAGCCATATTTAAGTGTTTACTTTGATACTATATGAAAGTTATGGATGTGTTTTGCTTGGGCTGTGGGTTCTAGCACTTAGAGTAATGGGTAGAATTGCTGAGAGCCAGATTTCTGTTTGATATAAGGGAAAATTTTCCAAACAGTTAGAGGTTTCTAAAAGTGAATAAAGAGGGCCGCCTTAGGAGGTAGTGCTTTCTCCTTACTGGATGTTTTTAGGTAGATGTTAGACAGCCACTTGTCAGGTATGTTGGGAGGATTTTTGTTCAGGTCACAATTATGCTAGATGACCTCTGAGGTCTCTTCCAACTCTTAGATTCTGTGATTTTTATATGTTATAATAGCTATGAAGAAATACTTATTGTAAAAACTACCAGGCTTTTGTCTTCTTTATATTACCACTGTCTTTTCCCCCTTGCTCTCAAGAAAGGACCTTAACTCATACTTTACTGAGAAAAGTAAGGTCCTTTTGTGATTACCATCTTCTTTACAATTCTCCACCTTAAATCTCCTCAACATAATTTCTAATTCTCTCCTCCTTTGTTTTGGAACAGATAGCCCTTGCTAAGTCCTGCCCTCCTACCTGTACCTTTGGTTCCATGCTTCTCTTTCTCTCTGTCTGGTCATCATTGTACTGACTTCTTCTTTATTGCTTATAAACATGTTCAGATTTCCGGCCCCTGGTATCACTTTAAGTCAAGAGTTCTTAACAAGAGTTTCACAATCTGTACTTAGATTTCAGGGAGTATGGGAACTTGAATAGGAAAAAAATTACATGCTTATTTTCAGTAACCTTTAACTAAAATTTAACTTCATTTCCTTAAATCATTTAAAAACATTATTCTGATAAGGAGATCCATAGGCTTCACATTACCAAAGAGGACTATGACAAAAAAGGTTAAGAACACCTGCTTTAAGTATTATACTTTATCATCCATTTATTTTAAAGCTAAATTCTTAGAAAAAAATTGTCAATACTACTTGCTTTAATTTATCACTTTAATTTTATTCACTTCTCAACTCTTTGTAGTCTGGTTCCTATCCCACCACTTACTAGAAACTGCTTTCTATTAATTGTGAAATCAAAGGGCCTTTTTTCTGTCCACATCCTTCTTGATCTTTCTTCACTCAAGAAGTAGGCTGGAAGAATGAGCAAACAAAATAAAAAAATCACACTAAAAAACTATTATGATAACAGGCAGGTTCAAGACATAAACCCAGAAGAGAATGACACTAAAACATCTACAACATAGCCTCAAAGTGAAACACAGCTTAGTACAAATTCAATTAGAATTTCTGGGAGAGATGAAGCAAAAGTTAAAAGACTTAAAAAATGTTTTTTAATCAATGAAATAAGAGGAAAAAAAGGAAAAGAAATGAGAGATGGAAGAAAGAATTGGAAAGAGAATTAATAGCTTAGCACACATGGTATGAAACCTTCCCCAAGCAAAAAACTCCCTGAAAATTTAAATGGACTGAATAGAAACCAGTGACCTCATGAGATAATAAGAAATAATAAAACAAAGTCAAAAGACTGAAAAAATAAAAGGGAGTATAAAAGTTTAAGGCATCTCATAATAAAAAGAACTGGTCTGGAAAAAGATCAAGGAGGAAAAATTTAGTAATCCGTATACTACTTGAATATTATGAATGAAAGACATTTCATAGACATCATATTTCAAGAAGATATAAAAGAAAACTGCCCAGATACCTTAGAACCAGAAGGCAAGGTGAAAATAGAAAGGATCTACTGATCACCTCCTGAAAGAAACTCTAAATTAAGGTACATGATAACCAAAATGAGCTTCCATGTCAAAGAAAAAATACTTCAAGCAGCCAGAAAGAAAGAATTCTTGTACTAAGGAATTCACAGTCAGGATCACACATAATTTAGTAGCCACCACTGTAAAGGAGCGAAGAACTTGGAATATGATATTCCAGGAGGCAAAAAATATATAGGCTTAGAAGCCAAGAATATCTTGCGGAACTGAGTATAATGCTGTAGATGAGAAAGCGTTCCTGATAAAAAAAAGACCAAAGCTATATAGGATTTTTGAAGTTCAGACATAGGAGTTAGGATAAAAAGGTAAACATGAATGAGCAAGCATAAGAGTCTAAACAAGGATAAACTGCTTACATTCTAATATGGGTAGAGGATGCATATGTCCCCTCTGTCTCCTATTAACCTCAGGGGTTATAGAGGAAATCTAATTAGGTAGATGGCTAGGGGTTGATTTCTTATGACTTGATGACTTTAAAATAACAGTAGAAAGAGAGAAGACAAACATACTAGGAGAGGAGAAGGGAAAGAAAGATAAAGGGAAATTATCTTACATAATCAGTATGTACAAGTAGAAGTCTGTAAACAAGAAGGAAAGGTTAAGTATAACTGATACTAGAATCTCACTCTTTGACATACACACAGTTGGGTAGAGAAATACATTTCACTCCATAAGGAAATAGGTGGGAAGGGAAAGAATGTAGAAAGTGGAATTAGAAGGAAGGTAGATTAAGGGAAGACTTAATCTTGAGTAAAACAAACTAAGGATATACAAAAATATTTGTAGCTTTTTTTGAGGTGACAAAGAAGGGTAATCTGAGGAGATGCTTCTCGATTGAGGAATGACTGAAGCAGTTATGGCATATAAATGTGATAGAATACTATTGTGTTATAAGAAACTATGGGGGCAGCTAGGTGGCGCAGTGGACAGAGCGCCAGCCCTGAGTTCAAATCCGGCCTCAAACCAAACACTTAACACTTACTAGCTGTGTGACTCTGGGCAAGTCACTTAACCCCAACTGCCTAAAAATTTAAAGGAAAAGAAAAATAAATGATGAAGGATTTAGTTTCAGAGAAACCTGGGAAGACTTGTATGAACTGATACTGAATGAAATAAACAGAACCAGGAGAACAATTTATATAGTGACAACAATATTATAAAGCAAACAACTTGAAAGAATTATGAATTCTGAGAAGCATAGTAACTAACCACAGTTTCAGAGCACTAATGGTAAAACATGTTACCCACTTCCTGATAGAGAAATGAAATACTCTGGGGTACAGAATGAGACGTGTGTGTGTGTGTGTGTGTGTGTGTGTGTGTGTGTGTGTGTGTGTGTGACATACAGAAAGAAACATTTAATCTAATTAGTATTCATTAAGTTGTATATGACAGGCACTACATTAGGCATAGAAAGACAAAAAACAATACCCAAACCAGAGCTTGTGTTCAAGGAATTCACTCTTGGAGGAATTATTCCAGAAGGAAGCAGGGGAAAGTGTGTACACAGATAAGTAAGTATATATATATATATATATATATATATGTATTTCTTTACATATCATATATATATTGGGGGGGGGTGAAGGAGGACTAGCACTTCTGATGTGAGAGCTTGCCAATCCCTTTTCAGGGCTATTCATCCATCTTTGGCTTTCTCCTGTGGCTCCATGAAGCTGTAGCATGCACAGTGGCCACACTCGGGTAAACCATGTTGGCAGATGGGCTAAACCAGAGGGTAACAGATTGACCACAAACCTATTGGTAAGTTAGGAGAATGTCTACCCCAAGCACATAAAGATTTCCCCCAGTGGAATGGGTAGATGACAACAATTTGCTCCAGCAACCATGAAGGCAGCTGCAGTAAGCACTTAGAACTTGGTCAGATAGTGAAGACTCTAAGGTCTTCCACTGCATCCCGGGCCATCGCCAGTCATTTGACCATTGTCTTGGCACTGGACTTTGATGACTCTGGAAGAGAGAATGAGGCTGACAGCTTTGTGCAACTCTTCCTCACTTAAATCCAATTCACACACGAGTCAAGTCATCACTCCATGATGTCATTAGTCTTCTTTGAAAATGAAGGACAGACAACTCTGTGTGTGTGTGTGTGTGTGTGTGTGTGTGTGTGTGTGCACACATACAGAGAGAGAGATTGCTCATGTTTCATCATTAGTCCCTTGCGATCATGGTTAGTCATTACTCTCTTTCATGTGCACTTAAGAGTCCAGGCAAACTGTCCTTATTGAAACTCATACAGGATTCTTCAACCTCATTTCTGTGCCTTACTGTTGGCCATGTCCCTTGCCTGGAATGTGTTCTATCCTCACCTCTGCCTCTTAGATTCCTCAGTTTCCTTCAAAGCTCAGCTCAGATGCCACATGAAGACTTTCTGTCATGCAATGCTTATGTCTCCCCTCCAATAGATAATTTCTATTTGTGTATATCTCTATATGTGCATGTTTTTTTTCCTTGTATGGGCAAGAATGTTTCACTTCTGTCTTTACATTCCTAGTACTTGGCACATAACAGTGTCTTGTTGATTGATTGATTGATGGCTGGGTATTGACAGCAGAAAACAGCTGACATAATGCAGAACTTGTTATTTGTTTTCACTTCATTGGTTCCTTTGATTTTTCAGGTTTGACAATTTGTGGACATAATTGCCTCCTGACTGCAGAATGGATGTCTGCCAGTAAAATAGTATGTCGAGTGGGACAAGCCAAAAATGACAAGGGTGACATCATTGTCACAACAAAATCGGGAGGTAAAGGAACCTCTACGGTATCTTTCAAGCTTCTCAAGCCAGAAAAGATTGGTATGATTTTTATCCTTCCATCTAATAGGGGAAACAAGTAAAATTTTAAAAAGTTTTTTAAAATACTCATTAGTTTGAATTTCATTTTCTTTCAAATTTAATTCAGATTCTTGTAATTAATATTTTATGTTTATTTGTACAACACTGGGGTTCAAATCTAAGTTTTCTATAAGAAAAGTGTTTGAACAAAGTAAGATAGTGTTGTAAAAAAGACACACCTATATTAACAAACCTGGATAACAGTTCTTTGTTCCTCTCTCAAGAAAAGGATCATAGGGTAATGGATTTAGAGCTGAGGACTTAGACCTCATCTAGTTCAACCTCTCATTTTACAGAGGAGGAAATTAAGGCCCAAGGGTATAAAGTGACTGACCCAGGGTCAGACCGGTGGCAGGGCTGAGATTTGAACCTCAGTCCTAACTGGCAGGCAGTTTAAGAGTTGGTTTTATACTTGTGATGTTTTTAGAATCCATATCCATTTTGCAAAATGGTTCATTTAGATGCTCTCCCCCAACATGTCTAGCTTCTAACTTGGTAAAATGAATTACATAAATTTGTTTTTATCCCTCCCTCCCAAAAAATATAAAGGAAAATTTCACATGTAATACAAATATATGCAAATTATATGTGACTTTCTATTTTCTCTTCTCTTTCTTCCTTCCTTCTTTCCTTCCTTCATTTCTTTCTTTTTTAACTAAAAAATTACAAAAGAAAAGCAGAAACTTATTGTGGTGTCTCCAGAGACATTTCAGATCCCTAGATTCATTCTCTTTACTCTTAGAGATGAGTTTTGGTAGTACATGAAGTAATTTAAAGAAATATGACATAATCCAGAGCCATCTTATTTTATGTTCATATATTTGTAAGTAACAGTATTATCATCTTTCATTTCAAAGCGCCTTGAATGAATCAACAAAGTAACCCAAATATATAGAGGAAGACATTTTGCAGTGGATTTATGACTTAATCAAAGAATTTACTGGCTCAAAATTTAAACTCACTTGGTTAGCCAAGTTAACCAAAGTGATTAGGGGTTTAATTTTGACATTTTTTAAGGGAACAACTCACATGTGCCCTCAAACTGGCTTACTCATTTTTAAACCTCTTTCAAATTAAATTCCTTTGCTTCTTTATTGAATTCAATATTATGAATGTTACTTTCATCTCTACTTTTCATCTCCCCCCCCCAGAATAAAAATAAAACCCATCTTGAGTGCCACTGAAATAGTTACAGTGCTCTATATTAGATTCTTTTCTCATTCAGTTTCAGAGGAGTCTCAAAACTGACTCTGGTAACAAACTGAACTTTGAGGCCCTTTACTTTCTCTTCCTTCATGTGATCTAAAGGGACATTGCACCTCATCAAAGAAGAGAAAGATTTTTCTGGCGTCATCTAAATCTGTCCTTTAAAAAAGTAGAATACTTTACTACTACAGCTGTGTTGGCAGCACTGATGACAATAATCTACAAATAAACAGCAAGTCATGTTGTTTTGGTGTCTTGTTTACCATTTTTATGTTGTAAGCTTTTAATAATAATAATAAAAATAATAGTAGCTGACATTGCTAACTTTAGGCTTTATAAAGCACATTAAAGCCCGATTCTACTCCTTACTACTTGTGTGATATTTGGCAAGTCGTTTAACATCTATGAATCTTAGTTTTCTCATTTATAAATTAGAGGTAGAAGTAAATTGATTTACCCTTAGTTCTATGTCAATTTGCCACACTATTCATGGGAAAACATAAGTTTACATGAAAAAAGAGTAAAAGAAATGTAGTTCACTTTCTCAAAAAATATGTTTATGCAACTTTATTTTTCATTCTTGGGAAAAACATACTTGTCTGTTTGTAACATGGTTTGCAAATTCAGAAAATTAAAACTTAAAAACTGTTTATATTATGGATCACTAACTAGCACCATAAACTCAAAACTTCTTATTGGAGTCAACTGCACATACCTAAATATTTCTCAGCAATTTTTTCCAAAGCTAGAAAAAATCTAGAATATTTAATTAGCACAATAGGACTGTCTCACGTCACTGTATTTCATGTTACCTATCAGAGCTATGATAATTGGTACTGCACAACTATTTACATTTTGGCACAGGAGTTTTTTTAGTTTAAAACCTAGTGAGTAAGAGTATTTTTTTCATTAAGTATATTGCTTTTAAGATAACTTTTCCACGGGAATTTTAATTTGTCTGTTGAAAAGTGTTAAGTGAAGAAATGAATTGTCAGGTGTTAAGTTTGCTATTGATAGCTTTTAGGCTGCCTTGATTAGATAATTAATCATAATTGTATTTTGTTTTTTAACTTCCTCAATATTACTTCACTATACATTTTACATGTGGGTTTTAAAAAAAATTAGAATAGCAAGAACTAAAAAGTCTTTTGATAGTCTTTATTTTATTAAGGATATATATGCTTTGTTTTCTCTAGGTATCTTGGATCAGTCTGCTGTCTGGGTTGATGAAATGAATTATTATGATATGCGCACTGACAGGAATAAAGGAATTCCTCCCTTGTCCTTACGTCCTGCTAATCCCCTTGGCATTGAGATTGAAAAGTGAGTACCAAATGCATTCACTTGTTTATTTGTTACTTTTAAAGTGGATGTACTTAATGTGAAGAAGGAGAAACAAACAAAAAATGCCCCCCAAAACAGTTTGTTATATTTCATTTCTTTCTAGTAAAAGCTAAGCACTGTTCATAAAACCTAATAATTTTTTTTTCACGTAAACATCCTGATGAGGTAAAATTTCAGGCAAAGACTAATTACCTATTTTTGAGAACCAATAAGTGACCTGAAAGTTTAAGCCCTACCATTTTAGATGTAAAACTGGTTTAATTTTATTCACTACTTAGGTCAAGCTTAAATATTTGGTGAAAGATTTGTAATACAAAATCAATTTGCTTCTTGCTCATTTGATTTTCTAACAGAAATATTATAAAACCATATGGTCAGAATGAGTCTTTAAAGGTAATCTTATCACTGATTTCTGTCTCTAAGCAAAGAGAACCTGAACTCTAAGAACCCCTCCTAACCTTTAACTTCTATTCTAGACAATTCCATTTTTGGAAGACAATTTCTCCTACTTATAGCTTCCATTTCAGAGTGTAACGGCTCATATTGTCACTATAGTCATCTTTCTAACTTAAAAGCAGTTCCTCCAATGTAGAGACTGAATCTGATTTTTACTCTAGAACCCAACATCCTTTCCCCCATTCTAATAAAGTGTTACATACTAGGTGAGTGCTTAATACATACTTGACTCATCAGTACTTTGTTAGATCTTCAGTGTGCTCTTCAATGTGATGACCCCCTCTAGCATACAAATTACAATCCAGTCATGCCTACTTGTTCATGTCATCCAGTAAATCCTCCATAGGGTATCTATCCATCGTGCTCTGTGCTTCATTATAGTTATTCTTATTTTAACGTGTCAGCCATTTCATCATGGATTGACCTGGGTTTCACTATTCTTCAGAGAAGTTTTAAGAGAGTTATTTTAGTTACAGATAAAGAAATTGAATCTTAGAGCTGGAAGGAATCTTATCTCCTCTAATCTAACTTCCATATTCCAAAAGCAAGAAACTTGTAACTTCCCTAAAGTCACATAGTAAGTGGTGGAACAACAGCCAGAACTCAGGTCTCCTAACTCCCAGCTTACTCTTCTTTACTCTATACCATTGTCCTAAGTGATCTCTTTGAAGAATAACCTTTTAGGAGTGAATTTGAGAGCTTAAAGCTAGAAAGAGTCTTGAAGAAAGCAATAATCATAATTAGAAATTTAGAAAAAGAAGGCCCCAAGTAAAAGTGTGATCATAGTGCCCCGTACCATCTGGATGCTCAGCAAATGCTGATTGATAGGGACTTGGATTACTCATCCTGCATCAGTTGACTGTTACATATGCTATGTAAAATGACATGATTCTTTCCAAGCTTTCCTAGGGAGTATAGCTTACAGACCAATAAAGCCCCATTAGATATCTTCTGATGGTAACTCTTGTAGTAAAGGAGTAAGTTTAGGTTAAGGAACAATGACTCTTTTAGGCACATTGAATGAATTTTTCAGGATTGCCATTCTTCATAAACCTGGAGTACAGGTCTCTTTAGATTTATGGCTTTCCCTCTATCTTACTCCTGACTAGACTCATGTCTGCTTCACTTACAGCTTCTTGCTCCTTCAGTTTGTATTGTTGTTTCCAGGGGACTCCATTTGTTCCTACTGTCACTCTGGGGTAATCACCTCTTGGTTGGGGACAGTCAGTGATTGGTGGCAAATAAAGTCTTCTACTTTTTTCTTTATCCTCTTACTCTCCTTTTTGCCACTCTTAAGTATGTACCATTCCTTGCTCTTCCTTCTAGGAAAATTTGATTATCTAAATAAATATTAAAATCATATATTAGTACATAACATATTAAAATCTAGGGAAATGTAAATTTATTGAAAGCGAGATTTAATGGGGAGAGAATTAACAAATGGTATCTCTTTAAAGTTGTCACAAATGTGGGTAGTAGTCATCATTGGAAGAAGGCCAAGGATCTCTTCTCAGGAGCTATTTAAGGGAGAAAACTGGGTGAGGGAATGATGAAAAAGAGGTCAGAAAGTAAAAATGAGGACAGGAAGTGAGTACAGAAACTGAAGAGGTCTAAAACTGTCTTGCCAAAAGCAATTTCTTTTCAATTTCCTATATTAAAAATGCTACATCTAAGAAATCTACTCAGAATTTTGATTGTCTAAGCTTTGGTCTAAAAGAGGAGAATTTTATTTTGAAGAAATAGAAAATGGTTAAGGCAGTGTTAAAATAATGACCTATGGTTTTATTTCACTGAGGTTACTTAATAAAGTGAAAGTTTTAGGCTTGTTAGAGAATTGATGGATATATTCAGATTTTATTCCCAGAGACCACTTTTGTTTTATTCTTTCAGAGACCTTGAAGTTTTCTTAGTAAAATGTCATTTGTAATTGCTTTTAACTAGTTGAAAGCATGGAGATAATCTATCTTTATTTTTCCATAAATCATCAGTGGAGGAATTGCTGGGTTTTAATCATATTTTCTTGGTGAAACATATTAATTGAAAAGGTTTGGAGAATTATGGTTTAAGCAAAGTGGGTACTTATAATAAAGTGCTTAATAGGCTTATGATAAATTACAAGATTAAAGTGTTGGGACCGCCTCTGGAAAGTATATGAATCAGACTCCAATAACTGCAATGTGAATGTTTGTGGAAATTTTCTACAGAGGACAGTCAGAAGTACAATGTGGAACAATGAGGTGTCACACAGTTTTGTGGCCAACCCATCTGAAAATGAAAAAGAAAGTGAGAGTTGCAGACTACAGTTTCCTTGTTGCCTTTTAGTATGAGTCAGAGTTTAATAAATATTTTATTGGTGTACCCAGCATGCATGCTGTCGTCTTTCAACCCACAAGTTTAACAACTGGTATTTATTGGCCTCCTTTCACTGTTAAGTCCTTCATATTCCTAAAGCTTTAACTGCTGTTTTTGCACACATGGTGCCTTGATACTTATAAAAATGTTACTAATTGTTAAAAAAAAAACCCTTAACTTTGAACAGAGACTACAATTTTGCTTGTAAAAAGTCTATATTTCTGATTTATTATGCTGATTGTCACAAAGATATATGTGTGTCTGTATGTGTGTGTGCATGTGCACATGTGCATGCGTTGTGTGTTGATTGTGTGTGTGTATTTGCTTACATTGTGATGGTGACAGATGTCTTAAGCTGAAGAAGATAAAAGGTTCAAATTACATTAAATTTTATAATTGGCTTCAGTCTTGGGAGATACTGTAGAATTGCCTTATATCAATTATGTAGTGAAATTCGTCTAGTGTTTCTTAGCTAAATTAAGTTTTAGTAACATTGATCATTAGAGAATCAAAACAGTACTATTTCCTATTATTTTTCTTATGATTTCTGATAACCTTTGTGAATTTATCATCTGGGAGTGCTAATCTCTACTATTGCATTTTTTCAAGTGCTTGCTGAGCCAGAGTTGTTTTTGTTTTTTTCCTCTAGAAAAATGGTATATTTGTTGTGTCGTAGAAATTCAGTCAGGCTTCTTGTCCTTCAAACAGGAGGCAAACTGGAATTTAGAGGAGGAAAGGTAGCCATATAAACATTATTAATGTGATGTGGAGAAGTCAAATGCCATGGCTAAAGACACTTTTTAGAATTTTTACAGGAATTGTGATTCATATGACTAGTTGCGCTATAATGCCCAGATCTTTAAACCGGTCTATGTAAGGAATGAGATTAAAAATTTTGAATTCATAAAACAGTGAAAAATTTTTTGTCAAAGCTTGAGAATGACTTAATGTTTTAAAATATACACTCAGATGCATATGTACACGCACATATACACACATGCAAAACAGAGTCAGCATAAGTGAGTGTTTGCTGTGTGTTTTATTTCAGCATCTGCCAAATTATGAAAACGGTCTTCACAGCTCAAACCCAAAGCAAAGCAACTGCAGCCAGACCTTACTTTATGCTTTGGGGTTAGAACTGTGCTCATAGTGCTGTTTGTTGTTTTGCACACTACATAGGCAATTACTATAGGTCAGTCTCCGACTAGAAGTAAATGCTGACATACTAAATACATTCCAAATAGTTCTATATCCCTCTACTTAGCACAAACGCTTGGATCTTCTCATGACCAGATTCTAAAAGCATTTAAGACTTAAGACTGAGGTTATACTGCCACCTGATGGAATAAATATTATATTGGGGGCAGGGGCGGGGGCGGGGGGAGGACAGGTAGAAGGATGTGAAGGTGATAGACAGGAAAGGAGGGAAGAACAAGTTGAAGGCAAGAAATTATTATTTTTTTATCATTAACAAAGATATTTTTGTGGAAATTTAATAGATATATTTGTCTAAATTTGACACTGACTCAGAATTATAGCAGCAGTTCTGGAAAAATAGACAAGCTAAATCACAGTAAATTATCAAATACTGTAACATTGCTTGTGAAATCTATGCATCTATTTTTACCAAACTTTAAAACCCTTATTCAGAGGGTTCAAATTCAGAAATCTAGATATTCTGACTCAAGTTATTTTGAGATTTGTCCCCATGGTTTCCATTATTTTTGGAGATGAGGACTCCTTATTAGCATCAGGAAGTTCCGTGGATCCCACAAAATAGCACTTGTACTCCAAGTAACAGTTGTTTAAAAAATATATATAATGACAGTGCTTGACAAATTCTTTATAGTAACTCCACGGCTTTCCAGTAGTCTGCAGTCTCCAGTACAGGATTCATTGATTTATCATATACCGAATCAAATTAGGAACATTGTCAAAGCACATCTTTTTCTGCCCACTAGTGAAGACGTCTTGTAGTCATTCTATTTTATTATCTTAGGTATTCAGATCACTTCACCATTATTCCTGGATGAAGTGTGTTATTCTGCTTTCCTGTCACCATATCCATCATCCCTGAAGGTTAATCCTGGACCAAAGTAGGTCTCTGTGGTCACCACTCCTCCATGCCTGTTGCCTCTTCTGTTAGGATGTAAACTTCTTGAGGATAGAGA